CTGTTAATAGATTTTAGATGCCAATGGAGTAATAAGCTGATACAAAAGATGCAAAGCTTCGATTCTATATCCTGAATATTCTTATAACTCCTTCAGGCCAACTTAATCAACTCACCTTATTTGAATGGATATGACTTATTGCAGCAGATACTGATTCAAAAAAAACTGGTTTCTCTGAGTCTAGGTTTCCATAATACGTCATTCCTTTTATCAAGGAAGCTACAAGAAAGCACAAGTGATATAAGAATACATGTGGAAGTGCAGAAGAATCACATTCAACGTTAGTCAGGGACATGTTCTTACCTGTACAATGGGCTAACAATACATCCACACTCCTGCCTTTACAGTCCATGTAAACCTGGAAGAATTAAAATAGGATACCCAAAGTCAATTCAGAATAGCCAGCAGGAGGAAATAAGATGGGCTTCAGAAGAAATCAAACTTTCTTTAAAGCGAATGTTTATGAAGTCAAACCACCAGAGGGAGGCATTGTTACACAGTCAGGCATAATCTGGCAAGCATCTAAAAGACTAAGATTAATACAGCAGGGCATCTACCTTTATTGCAACTAAATTTGACTGCTTACCTTTTCCACATCATTTAATAAAAGTAAAAACAGTTACTTTCCTGCCCTGTAAGAATCATATAAAATTGTTCTCAACCTCTTTTAATAGAAAACAAGGACCCATTTGTGAAAATGAAGAAAGCTGCTGACCTACTGCTTGCTTTAATATTTTACAATAATTTGGACATATTCACGTGCTCTACAAACCCTGTGCATGAATGGTAAATTGAGAACCTCACTATAATCCAAGCCAAGTTTGATTACTCAACTTCCATTTTAAAAGGATTGCAAGATGAGAGATCCTGACTCATTTGTTTGGCATCTTTTAAGTCCTAGAAAATCTCAAGCAGAAACAACTTATTAAAGGCTCTGATCTTAAATTCACCCAAATCAAAGTCAGTCTATGAACTTCCGTAAAAGTAAATTTAGGCGTTTTAGTTACCAGGGGATGGATTTCATTATATAATAGTGATGTATCTTACACATAAAATATAGAAAGGTTCATTTACAATATATTCTAATAGTGTGCATTGTACATTCAAAATTTCATTCATATTCTTCCAGTAGTAAGAAGTTCTTTCTATGTGAGAATTGTGAAATAATAGAAGATACATTACTGAGTGTAAATGAGAAAAGAGCAAAAAACATGGACTGCATCTTTGCCATTGAATAAATGGCTCCCATTTTTGTAAGTTAAAATATTTAATCCAAGGTGACCTCCCAGTGTTTGACTTTTTCTTAAGCTCGGTGAAACACAAACACATTGCTATGGGCGGTTTGTAGGTGCTGATAAATATAATCTCCAGTTCACTGACCTCCTCAAAGTCCCAAGTAAAAGAATAAAGAGAAGTCACCCCACTTCCTTCAACCTACAACTCCCAAGAGAATGTTTCTAATGCTAAAGCAACTAAGAAAACAATGCAAGGAGTGTTGTTAGAAAGCAAGAAGCCATGAAGGACTGAAGAGTTGCTGTGGCTCTTCACTCTGAACCTTCTTCCAGGGTGGCTGGAACTAAGAAATAATATTAGTTGCAATGATATTAATTACACTTGAAGAAATGACATTTTTAAAATGAGAAAAAATAATAGAAACTAGCATTATTGAGTTCTTCCTAACTGCTAGACACTTTCTTAAGTGCTTTATATGCAATACATCATTTTTAAGCCTCACAACAACTTGCTGAAGGGGGTATTTCTACTTCCAGTTTACAGAAAAGCAAGTAAACACTTAAGTCCAGATCACAGAACTAGTATATGGATGATATTTGGAACCAGGCTTAGTCTATCTTTAAAGTCTATATTCTTAACATAGATCATGCTGTTACTGTAACCATAATGAAATAAAGAAAATAGGAATAACAAGGAAATTTAAAAGGGCAAACTGATACAAAACTGCTGGTTTTGTATATATAGATAGAACACACCTGGCTAAGGGAATGTCATTTTATGCCAATCTAAAAATAAATTGCATCAGTTGATTGATCCTGTCATTCCAGTGTACAGATCTTTAAAACCACTACGATGAATGATGAAAAATAAGTCTTTTTGCAACATGCCCAGTGCCAAGATTGTTTGAATTTCTCTGAATTGTCAGCCGTGGATCCTAAACTCAGTGAGAGTAGGTAATCATTTCTCCTGCTTTCTTTATTAACCCTAAGTCCTGTTTGTAATATCTAGAGAAGGAAGCTAATAATTTCAGAAACCAATTTAAAATGCAATTGAACAAACACACACACACACACACACACACACACACACACACACACATATATACTGGCCTTTCCCAGTTTAAAAAAAAACAATCCTAGTCTAGTGTTTCTCAAAATAGGATCCTTGAGCCTCCTGCATCAGAATCACCTATGGGTGTTTAAAATGAAGCTCCTAGATCAGAATCAGAACGCAGAAGACTGCATTTTCAATGAGCACCCCAGAAGAGCCTTAAACACGCAACTTTAAGAGACTCTTGTAGACTTTAGGAACACAGAGTAAATAAAAATGCCCAATACAAGAGGCCCTCCTGTGAAGAGGGACCATGTGTTTACAATTTAGTTTCAGCTAGAAGAAAACATGAAGTATTCAGGTTGAATCCTAAGTCCAACTGTGCAAAGGTTTTATAGTGAACCACAAGAAAATGAAAACATTATGTGGGGAGAAAGGGTGACTTGCTAAAAATAGCCACTAGATTTCAGGCCTCTGATACTTAAACTTCAATTGTTTTAAACAATTTGTTTATTTTCGAAATATCTGCCAATTCTGAAACAAAATCGCCGCCTCATTTTTACAAAATGAATAAACTGAGATCCAGACAAGTGAGATGATTTCCCCCACACCTCAGCTAGTGTGATGCAGCTGGGACTATGCTGTGACTTCCACATACTAAGCAATTCCCCTCCACACACTCCCACCCATATCTTCGTAGGAAAGCAATACTAATGTTGACCTTTGTACTATCATGAGTTTGAAAGGCTGGACATTTCAAAGTAAATTTAAGATATAAACGAATAGAGACACAAAGTATACTACACCACAAGAAAACAATACAAGTCCACAACATAAGACCTTTTCAAGGATCTGAAAAGGTCTTTAAAAGTCAATGTCTGGTTTCCGCTTTCTGACCATGATATGTAACTAATACAAGATTATCCCCTCCTCCATAAAGAAGTACACAACTGGACAAAAATATACAACAACCATGTTTAGACAATCGGCACCAGGCAGGGCAGCACAGGG